TATGATGTCTCTGATGAATGTTCTGGCCGATCATCTTAAGCGCATAATTTGTCTGTATCGCACTTGATATCGTATTGTTTACATCGGCTTATGAATTGTGAATATCTGTTGCTTCCGCATCAAATTTGTTTGGCACCAAACTCATACACTCACCTGCTTTATTAATTGCCGCATCATCATCTGTGAAAATGTTGTGGCATACAATATTGATTGGCCCAACATGATGAATGTTTACAATCTGCTTATAATGCCTTAGTTTGAGCCACGCAATTATCCTGATATGTTTGATTGGATTAATTGATTCCATAAGCATGAATTATGAATTTTTGATCAACCCTATCAGTACGAAATTATTTGCTGGGAACAAATAGTTTATTGATTAATTGAAATTTATGTATTTTGGATGATGATGATTGAGTTGACAAATTCCCATTATGTTTATGAATAATAAGGGTTAGTTTGTTAACATTATGATTATTTATAATTATATGACATTAATTATTTTTCTCTGCTTGGTGGGATATCTGTACATGCTAAATAAATTGATTACATGAATCAATCAGGCATAATTAAGTATTTTGGAATGCTGAACCTCTCGAATTATTTGTTCAATTAATTGAAGTGCAGTGTTTGATATATTATTTAGGGAAGTGTGCAACTTGGACTTTGGTAATTAGTTTGAGTTGATTAGATCCAAGCATGAATGTGATTATTTGCATGGGCCTGAATTAGTTTTGTGTGAATTAAAGGTTAAACCTTTAAATCTCTTTTTCGGTTTTAGAATTTTAAATTTTGGATTTGAATGTTGGTATAAAATTTTATATATTTTGAGATATATTATTTCACTGGCAGGATTTGTTTGTCCCAGAAGGACACTAATACATGAGAATAATGAAATCCTACCAAATCAATACTCATGGACACATTATATTAAGAATAATTATATAAAAGTAACTTATTGAGATTGTATTAGTGCCGGAAGCACATATACAAAAGTATAATTTTTCACATGAGATATATGATAGAAAATTATCTCTATTCTATAAGACAATATGTTTCCTTGATTTATATGTCCTTATTTGTATATGAGCATCTCTTGTTTGATATTTATCATATTATTCTTCACGTTACTTGTTAATATTTGAAAGTGGTAACACACGTATATGTCCAGTAGACATTTTACTTTAGATAAGGTTTATTTCGATGATATTTTGTCCATGAATCTGAATACGCATGAAGCATATGTGGATTAATTTTAACATGTGAATTGTATATGTCGTTTGGAATACATATGGTGAACCTATCAAAATATGCAATTACGTTAAGAATTTAATTTGAAAATTATGGTTGCATATTTTGTTTCGTTGTTTTATGCATTAAGTATGGACGTGATCCAAGTTATTGATTCCAAATCAATTTGAATATATGTTTTGAATTTTAGTCTAATTGACTAATGAACCAATGAATGGTATGCAACATGTATAGTTATTTTCTAATTCTGTCATGAGTTGCAGAGCAAATATCCTGTTGAATTTTTATGCATATCGATTTGAATACCTTATTGACCTAGATTTGGATATCCCTGAATGATTGGTCCTGACCAGTGTCTTCATTGAATAAGAATATCTTGAGTATCTTTGACAGATTGATCTAGTAAATAATTTCGTTGATTTGTATATAAGTATTATGAAATTATTTATGTTTATTTGTATGTTTGATAATATGGATACCATTGACTTATATTGTTGATAGCTACAATATTAAATTTATATGTGGTGCCCGAAGCACATCATATTGTTGATAGCTACAATAACAGACTCACAATTAAAGTTCATTTGTAGTCCTGAAGCATATAGTGTTCACTTAGAAATGAATTATTATACTTCGATGCCCAGTTTATATATTTGATAATTGGCATGAGCAGTTGGATCATATTGGGCAATTATTTATGATACTTTCCCCCTAAAATGCGTGGAGAATTGAACATTTCCCATCTGCAATTTATTATTATTTTATATCACCACAATTGTATCTTTATGGGCCTATATTACAAACTAGGTATGCTATGACTTACTCCATCGAATTTTTAATACCTAGAGCCCATTATAGAGGATCAGTTCATTATTTGGTATGTTTTTGCATAATATATGAAGATGATTTCACGGCATTAGGGGGAGATATGAGCATGAGTTTATTAATGCCGCGAAATATGTGAAATATTAATGTTTTCATTATTTCAAACCACGCAATAAAAATTGAACTTGAAGTTCATATTATATTTCTGCCAAGCGAAATCTGTAGTTATAATGGAGTGACCTATTTGTAAATATATAGATGTACCACAGAGTAAGCAAATTCCCTAGGGAATGATTGACTCCTTAATGCTTGAAGCATAAGGTGATATAATTAATATGATGTATGAAAGTCCGCGGAAAATGTATATTCAAGAATTAACACTCCTTTATAATAAACTCCTGAAGAGTTGATCCAGTACATCTTGCACGTGCATCAAACCATTATAGTACTGGAAATGCGGAACGGCCAAAATTTGATTTTACGGGAAATGATTATAAATATGGCTATCAAATGGTTGAGAGAAAAATATAAATTGAATATCAGTTGTCGACAACATACTTGCCTATGTGATTTCTTAACTGTCTCAAATAATGATCCGGATCAAAAGAATAGAAGTGCTAGAAGCGCTTAAGTTGATTGAGATAGAAAGAAAAATTGAGGCAGAGCTTTCACTCGCTACACGATATATCCCAGGAGGATAGCATATCCCAGAAGGATAATGAATATTTATATGAAACATGTGATGTGGTGGTATGACGTAAATATAGCGAGATTATGCTCATGGGTTTATGCAGAGACCCAAATATTTATAAGTTCTCTCATTAGCAATGATTCCGCAAGTTAATATTTATGGCAGCATCATTAACATGACTACCGAGTCATATGTGAAAAGTCCTGGATGGGCTCGAGTACCCGAGATGAACGATAATTAAATAATAAATAGTTTAATTATTTGAAGTTGTTGGTAAGATGTGGTACAACCAACTAAATTCTTCCTGAAGAAGTAAAGTATGGAATTCAAGGTAGAGCCTTGTGTATAATGATAATATACAAAATGATCATCTCGGTCAAATAGATTATGTGGTGAACACTATGTAAAAGATTAAATAAGTTATCTCATGCTTATAGACGGAGTTAGAATGAAACTCTTGGTTAAATACCAAAGAGCATTAACTCGACTTGTAGATCGAGCATCTCCTAGAAGGAGTATTTTTTTCCCAATCAATCTACTTGAATCTCTTTATAGAGATGTAAAATTATAACACCAATGAGTGTCAAATATTTAGAATTTGACAAAGATTTATAAAGATCCAAAGAAACAAATGAGGATATTATAGGACCTGAAGTTCCGAATGACTTGAAGTCCACAAATGACCTGAAGTTTATTTACTACGCGCAATTGTGCTAAACTTTTATCACGCAAACTGCATCAGGCCTGATATTCCATTTGCGATGAATTTGCTAGCAAGATTTACTATTTCTCTCCTTAGAGAGATGTCGTGATAAATTTAAGAATATCCCATTATGCTTTCATGTATGTTGAGTTATCTTTGGACTTGATATATGATATTGATGGATAAAGACATAAACTGTATAATTGATCCCCGAAGTACTGGGTCCTCGATTGGTTATAGACCTCTTAAATGGTATTAACTCTTTACCATTGGTTATTTAAATTTCCCCATATTTATCTTGAAGATAAGTCAGTTTGTGTTACACAAATAAATTATGGAAATACATTTGATAATATTTTTGAATCCATATTAACTCCGGAAGAGTAACCAATGACGATTTTATGTAGATACTCTTACCTTGAGGGGGAGCAACAAACATTTATAAATGTAACTTGAAAGGCTCTTGCCTTCAGGGGGAGCGATAAATAAATCCTGAAGATCGAGCCCGGAAGGCTAATTGTAATCCTGAAGATTAGGCCCTGTTGGCCGATGCTGTACTCTTTTTCCCTTAGCTAAGATTTTTCCCATTGGGTTTTACTTAGTAAGGTTTTTAACGAGGCAGCAAGTGTAACACATAAATATGCATATGTCATGTACTCTTTTCCTCGACTATTTTTTTCCACTGGGTTTTGTAGCGAGGTTTTTAATGAGACATGGACATGATGTAGTAATGTCCAAGGGGGAGTGTTATAAATATATGTATATGGACATTACTAATCGATAATTGGGCCTGAAGTCCATTAGTTAGGGAAATTAGGTTTTAGGGCTTCTCACTTGTAAACCCTATAAAAGGGTGATATACGATGAATAAAAAAAAAGACTTTTCTGCTCTTCTGTCTCTTGTTCTCTCGCTTGTTTCTCTTTACTTTGTTTGGTGTGGATTGATGAATGCTTGAGGATCCCAATTTACAAATACTTAACTGATGTATTGACAACATACCCAATTTTATCTTGATGTAGTCTGAACAACATACCCAATTTTATCTTGATGTATTGACACCTTTTTAAAGTGTATTTATCATATGACACATGTCAATACACCATTTGTTAATAATTATGAATGATTTCTTAAATTGTATAATCCAATAACTCTATAACAAAATCGTACCCAGTAATAATATCTTAATATTCTGTCACAATAATTGGTAGACATATTAACTGATGGGCTGATAGTATTCTTACATTTGATACACTCAAGCCCAAATTAACTTTGAAAATTTCCCTAAATGAACCCCAAAAAAAGGAAATCAAACCATTATTTACCTAATGCATGACAGCATTTCTTAACCCCACTCAAACATTTTTCCTATGTCCCCATTTCTCAATTTTCACACCCCTACACACACAACACATCACACAATTTACAGTGAGAAAGAGATGGACGTAAACTAAAGGGCCGGCACCAAATCCTATTGACTTCAATAGTTCAATCTCTGTTCCTTAACTAATTCCAATATTCTATAAATAGGGGTTTGTCACCTTCTTCACTTGGGCCTTCACCTTCAAACCTTTGTTTTCTTCCAAAAGTTCACTAGTATTAAGTTACACTTTCTCCATTAATCGACATATAGACAAAAAAAGGCTGAAAGCAAAGAGAATGGGTAGATCACCTTGTTGTGACAAAGATGGCCTCAAGAAAGGCCCATGGACTCCCGAGGAAGACGCCAAGCTCGTTCGGTATGTTCAGACGCACGGCCCGAGAAATTGGAGAGCCCTTCCCAAAAATGCCGGTATTATATATATTTTTTTGTATTTTCTTTGTTTTCGAATATGAAGATTAGGGAACGAACAATTATTAGTATCGATATGGATATGTGTTGATGGTGATTGTGTATAGGGCTCGAAAGATGTGGGAAGAGTTGTCGACTCCGGTGGACGAATTACCTTAGGCCCGATATCAAGAGAGGAAGGTTCTCATTTGAGGAGGAAGAAACCATAGTTCAACTCCATAGTGTACTTGGCAACAAGTAAGACTATTGCTTTTTTTTTTTTTTTTNCTTTCAATTGAAAACAAAAAGGAAGAAATGATCTTTTTTCAATTTAATTTTATATTCGAGCATATATTAATTGGATGAATGACACATGTAAACCAGATCAATAACTGTCTGATAACTGACAACCGTCATTCGTCTTAATGAGAAAATAAAAAATCAAATTCATATATATAGCCAACAAATTATGTTAACTAAGACTATAACATATGCAATTAATTACAAGTCGAATTTTCTCGTGCGTTGATGACCAGATGGTCGGCAATCGCGGCCCGTCTACCCGGGAGAACCGACAACGAGATCAAGAATTACTGGAATACCCACATTCGAAAGAGGCTCCTCAAAACAGGTATCGACCCGGTTACCCATGCCCCGCGGCTCGACCTACTCGACCTATCCTCCCTCCTCACCTCCCCTCCGGCTCTCAATCTCCCGAGCCTCCTCCAACTTGCATTGAGTCTTGTCTCGCAAAACGAGAGCCCACCATTAGTCGACCCGGCCCATCACCACCCGGGCCCACTCCTCCAACCTAACTGGTTTGAAAATATTATCGCTGCCCACCAAGCCCACCCATCAAACCTAGCAACTTTCGCTTTTCTCAATACGCTCCAATCGGGACTCCCGACCATGGGACCCACGGACTCGACCGGCCGAATAATCCACGATAATTTAACGACGAGAGTTGCTAATACAAACGATGATCATAGCCTACCGACCGATTACTCGAGCTTTCGATTGTGCGACAATTTGGGGTTCGATGGCTTGTTTTTGTCGACTTCGAACATGTGTAGCCCGACAGCTCCCATGAACTCGGGATCGGCCGCCTTTATCGATGGCGGCGTGGAGGAATATGAGAGGGAGAGTTTTTGCAGTAGCTTGTTGAGGTTTGAGATTCCAGAGGGTTTGGATTTTGAGGAGATTATGTGAGATTTATGAGTAATTATATTTTGTTTATGTTAGATTATTCACTTGTGAGTCCTTCATAAGAAGCCGGAGTCGGGTGTCCAAGCCCTACTAGAAACTGGTTGGAAAACCGGTAGTTTAGGTTATTAGTTTACAAAGATTTGCTTTGTCATAAGTGTAGTAGAATATTATTTGTTTTCATGTTTTTTGCAATCTATAAAGAACATATATTTTGTTATCAGAGATTAGTGGAATATTATGTACGAAATTTGGATCTGGGAAGTATGATATGCATTATATTGAGAGGATTTCTCAAGGAAACGGGACCTATTTAAATTATGAAATGTTCTCCTTTCTAATTAAAAAATTAAAAAGTAATGTTCTTTTTCTAATTAAAAAATTAAACACCGGTATTAATTGGTTATAATATATAAAATAAAGTTGGAACTGATTATTTGGACTAAATCTAACTTGCAATAGTTAATGATTGAATTTTATTTGTATTTTTCGATTACTTGTATTTTATTACTCTGATCGAACACGAGCTGCTGGGCCAATTTCTAGAAGTCGCTATATAATAACCATTATCTATCATTTTTATCATGTACCGTCAAAGTAATTTTATCATAGGTGTATAGTCCATGCTTTGTTTACTAATAAAATCTTAAAACATTACTCAATGTAACCGATCTACCGCTACAAAATCTACACGGGTTCAAATATTTCTATACATGTTAGACTACACACAAAAAATTACTATTAATTTGTTGACACGGTAGACCAAATCGATTTAAAAAGATTTTACAGCTCTGATTGGAATCAAATTACGGTAATGTTTGGATAAAATGAGCTGAAATATCTATACTTATATAAAAAGAATTACTATTTACTAAATATAGCAAGCAAAACAAATTTCAAAATTTCTAAATAAGGAAGGGATAGAAGTTTAAATAAAATATGGTTGCTTTAACAAATTTATAGGGAAAAAAAAAATCTTGAATTCAAATTCAATTGTTAACAATTTCCTAATAATTTTCATACAAATCTTTAATTCAAATTCAAATGTTAACAACTTCCTAATAACTTTCCTACAAAATTGCCCGCATAAATAATAATAGATATGAAATTTAGCAGTATTCAAAAGTTAAAGAGTAATTCAAATTGTGGAGAATTTAAAATGGTACGAGTTTGCATCATTCATTTTAGTAAAAAAAAAAAACTTAAATGAATTATATTAAAAAGTTAACTTCATTTAATTAACTTGCACTAATTATACCGTCCATGCAAAGAAAAAAAAAACACAATTATATTTATGCAATTAAAAAAAGTGTATGCTACAACATTGGATATTAATCCATACATAATAGGTACTCACTTAATAAATCTTCACCATATCATTTGTTAGAATAAAAAACTTAATAACGGAAAAAAAAAAATTGGGACTATGTTTACTTGAAAGACTATCAACAAGTGTACAGATTTTTAAATTTATTTTCAAATTGAAACTTTAAATTCGTACTGAAATGGAATTGAATAATATAATTTAATTAGAAATGTAGGAATTTCTTAGAAAAAAAAACTATCAACCAATTTGCATTGATTTTCAAAAACACATAAATACTGATTTCTAAACTTATGGGGATTGTTTACTTGATATAGATTATGACCACGTGTATAGATTTTAAAACCATCATGAAATTCAAATCTATATATATATAATAAGAATTAACATTTACCATAAATAGTAGTAAGGAAAAGTCAACCACATTTATTATATACTATTTTCAGCAACTTTTACATTTTACATTTTAATTTTAATTCATTATAAAAAATTGGATGGTTCCTAAATTAATGGGTTTTAAATGCACGTATCATGTTTCAAAAATTATAAATCATTTAAAATCGGAGGGTTCCTAAATTAATGGTTACAAACTTTTCAAAGTTGTAATCTTTATGGCATCTTTTCTTTTTGACTTTTAATAATAAAATTATTTTAAATATATATATTCTAATCCAAAAATTCAATCATAATAAATATATATATATTGAACGCTAAAAATATTTTTTAAATTGCATACCCAATCAATTAATCTTAATTTTTTTAAAATTACTATGTTTATTTTTTATTAATATGCATAAAATAAAAATAAATAGTTCATCTTTGGATATATAATTTATAATCTTAATATACTATCATTTGGTGTAGACATATGAATCATAAAATATTTTTATTTCATAAAATTAAATATTATATTTAAAGAAAATAAGGAAATTACTTTGGATCAATCGGGTGATTGAATTAGGGTACTGCCCACTTTGATTGAATTACTTTTAGGTGATATTTAAAATAGTCAAAAAACTTGACATAACTTGGTTGGTCCGAGGTAATTAAGTTATGTATCAGTTTGACCAGACCAAATTGATTATTGAACCTAAATATAAATTTTAATATTGAAAATACTTTATTACGTGAATGTGATGTAGTCCAAACTTCAAATAATCATATTAACAATACTTTTATGACAACATGATTAATGATTTATGAATATTTATATATCATTTTATTATTATTTATGTGAACAAAATATTTATTTCATTATCATTTTTATTAATGTACGGTAAATATAAGGTTTTCAGAATCGGACCGTCTTGTGGTTGTTCAGATTTTAATACATAATACTTTAATATATATATATAGTACTTTTTGTAATAAATTTAAATAAAAAGTGTTACTTAAATATCTAAACAATTTATAAATTCAAATGTTTAAACTAATTGATAAACAATTTATAAATCTCCGTTTTATTTAAATATGTAATTTTATTTAAAATAATTTTTCATGTAACAAAATTTGTTTAGAAAATTGTATCGATCTTACCAGTCCAACATACTGGTGTTGGCGGATTCGATAGCAAATATTTTATTCAAGCGCACTAAATCGGTTATAAATCGGTTCTCGGTCCATCCGATCGGACTGTGTCCAACCCGGTTTAATTTATAAATAATGGGTAAATCATGATTAATGTTATTTATTTATTTAATTTATAATACAATCAAAATATTATTTTCCCGTGCATCGCACGGGCCACGTTCTAGTTATGTATAATTATCTTGTTCATTATCACAATCCAGAGTAATAGTCAAACTCAAGATAATTGTAAAATAAATAAATAAGATTTCATTTTCAAAATAGTACGATTTTATAATTTGGGAAATGCAATGTATTATCATAAAAATACAGATTCGTAAAATATATATAATATAACCGTATCAAATTGAAAATGGATAAATAGTTAAAATCAAATTAAAATACTAATATTACGTGAAATGGATGCCTAAAAAAATGGAACATGGGAATGGACCCAACATCAGCAGAAATCCCGCAGACCTGTAATTTACCAATATGCCCTTTCTTATATAACATCCAGGCCCAATACGTAATTTAACGGGATTTCAGTTATATATCTAGAGTCCGGCGCAGCAGAGCACACCCCGCCTGGTCACGAGACTCTCTCTCCCACACTATTTTTTCTCTCTATAAGATACTAGTACATACCCCGTGCGATACACGAGACAAAGATATTAAATGAATTATTTTCACACCCTTGTCCGTTTATGTCTAAAAAATAATAGAGTTATTATCTATTTTTTACCTCTTTTAATTAACGTTAAATCTAAAAAACAATAGGGTTATTATAAGTTTTTTTTCCACATCTTTTAACCAGCGTTGTTTTTTTTAGCAAGAACATTAAATATGAGCATGTTAAGGCTAGCTTGTAATTAATATATTATCTCGCTAAAATATTTATACTAATAAAAATTTAATTTTAGCATATAAATTTATCCCTTGATATAAGAGAAAGTAACAGTTTTACTTATTGTTGTTCAGTATATAATATTTAATTATTATTTTATTATATAATAAAAATGAATATTGTTAAATAGTGTAGTAGAATTGTTATAAAATTATATGAATTAATATCTTTAAAAGATTTGATAATATAACACTAATATATTCTTAATGATATAATAATATGAGATACGGATTTACATAATACTATGAATTTATTCCTTAATGTTAATATATTGAATTAGGTAATATATGATTCACTAATTTGTAATCTGTCTCTTTTTATATTGAAAATAATCATGTGATTGAGTAGAGATAACAATTATCTATAAATTCTTTCATTTAAGGAATAATTTTTAAATTGGTCCAAGTGTTGAATGCAGTCCGATTCTCTTGTAACTAAAATGAGAAGAGATTTTGAATTTCAAATTTTCACTTCAAAACCACACGTAAATTTGGATGCAGATTTTATTAAAAATAAAATGAGAAGAGATTTTGAATTTCATATTCACTTTAATATCTGTCAAAATTCTCAAAAATGAATTCAACAAAACCCATAATTTTAGGGGCATTTAATGCTACCATATTTTATGATTTAAAATATCTAAAACTTTCTAAATATGGTGTGCAATTAATTATTTTAAAAGATGAACCGCTTTTGTTACCAAAAAATGTGGGTACAATTTTGAATGTACATTCCGTCCAAATATCAGTTTTATTTTAAAATAAAAATTGCACGTGGTTTTAACCAATTTACACACTTTTTTTGAAAGAAAAAATTATTCATTAAGATTGGAAGAATTTGTTAGAAATTATACAACTATTTGTTTCGTAAATTTGTATCCAATTTGCACGGTTTTTAAATTGATTTGTATTTAGAATTGTTTTCATAAATAATTGACACATTTTTTGCATAAGAATCTTTAAATTTGTTACCAAAAAAGATATGATTTAAATTTTGGTAAAAAATTAAAATATGATACGAAAAATAAATTAGGATTCAGGTTTTGTTTCTAAAGATTTACATGTATTTTTTCGAACTTTCCATTAATAGTAAGTCAAACATTATATTTATTTGGTCAAACTTTCAATTAATGTATTTTTCCAACAACCTCTTTATATATATATATATAGATATATAAATCTGCGTGATTATTATGAATGTATGTTTTTATGTCTATGTATATGCATTATCGATTTGATTCGACCAGTTCATATTTTTTCTGCAAGTTCCCATTAATGGCGTTTTGAATACCAGTTTTGGAGCATTAAAACGAAAACCCCTCTTTTTTTGTTGAGATTTTTGCTTTCCCAACATAAAATTTTTTGGAGTATTTTTTCGAAACGAATCTATTCGTGCATTGGGAATTTGGGATTATAATATTCCTTCTTTTTTTGGGTTTCTTGGCTGTAAACAGCTTCTTTTCTCTTCATTCCAGCTCTCCTGAATGGTGGGTTATTCTTGGAGTGGCGAATCATTTATTTTAATGCGCTTGAAATAGAGCGAGCGTGTCGTTGTGTTCAGATCAGTATTTGCAGAGATTGAAAATTAAGAGAAAGCAGAAGCCAAAATGTTTGATGGGATGTTGAAAAGCAAGTTCGATTGCAAATGGTGAGTTGAAGTTTTGATGGTGAATTTGACCATTCGAAAGTTTTTAATCTTCTTTTGTTCCTATTCGTGCTGTTTTACATTTTCTTAGGTTAATGTTGCTTTTCTGTCTTGTTTCTTTTTCTTTTTCTTTTTTTTCTTTTTGTGAATATTGGAATAGCAAATCGGATGTTAAGCTGACGAGGGCACGAGCTGATTTGGTTAAGAAGAAGAGAAATGCAATGCAAAAGTATCTGAGGAATGATATTGCAGATCTTCTTAAAAATGGAATTTGAATGTGATGTTTTTATACTTTTGTGTGGCTGATAAAATTTCTCTTGCTTGAAAATTTAGGTACTGTAGCGTCTCTATTCTGGTAAGGTGTCCATTGATCAAACCTTTTTGTTTTGTCTGGTACTTTTCTAGGTTGATTTTATGGAACTATACACTGAATCCCTCAATATAATTTCTATTTTCTAAGGGCGTTTTACCCCTGAACTATTGAATTTTCCACTTTGAACCCTTGAGGCTCAAGTTATGAATGTGCTGTTTTAGTCTATTCTCAGAATTTCAGCTATTACCCAAAAAGCTCATAGTTCCCTAAATGGGAAAATGAAAAAATTTAGTTTAGCTAAACTTCAAGAGTAGTTTTAGTTGCTACCTCTTTCTTTTGTTCCTCTTACACAGACCTCAACATAATTCGTTATTTCTTAGATTCCAAAGGCCTAATTGATTTATTTAAAGAGTTATTGTTTCCAATGTTCAAACAGGCTGAAGGACTTCTGGTTGAGATGAATTTGACGAGCTGTTATGAGTTTGTCGACCAATGTTGTGAACATATATCAAAGAATGTCTCGGCTATGGACAAACAGAAGTATGTAAGCCTTAATAGCCAATTCATTTCAGCTAGTAGAATAATGTGTCTTTATTCTTTAATTACATATTTTCTCGTACTTATGCTTTTTTCTGCAATAAAATACCCCTTTTAAGCACATATGTTGGCATGAAACACATTTTCTAGTTGACCCCATAAACAAGAACACTGATTATTGGTCACATGGTAGGTTTGCTTTGTATTTAGGTCGTGTTAGTTCAAAATGAAGTTGATCAGCTGAAATACAATTTTGCCGGCTTGTATTTAGGCCATGTTCGTTCAAACATGATGTTGGGTTTTTTTTTTTGTTTTCCCCCTATTCGAAAAATAGATTCACTTGAAATTGAATATTTGGTATGATCAGGGAATGCCCTGAAGAATGCAGAGAAGCAGTGTCGTCTCTGATGTTTGCAGCTGCACGATTTGCTGACATGCCCGAACTGCGCGAGCTTAGAACTCTATTTTCAGAGAGATATGGGAATTCCCTTGATTGTTTTAAAATAAATAAAGACAAAGAAAACGTCTGTATGTATTTTTTCCCTCATCGTTCAATTCAATCTCAGTGAAGTGAGATTCTTATGTATATTTTTATGTAGTTTTCTGAGAAGATGAGGTCTTGCCTGCCCTCAAAAGAATCAAAACTTGAGCTGTTGCAAGAAATAGCTGCTGAGTCTGGTTTGGACTGGGACTCGAAAGCCCTGGAAAATAAGCTCTTTAATGAATCTGCATACAACAAGGTATAGTAAACTATAGTATTTCGAGTTTTAATGTCTGACAAGTACTTGTTAGCCTACGTTAGTAATTATTGAGCAAAACGACACTCTTTTTCCAAGGAGTTTTTGTTCTTTTTTTTTTTTGCCCTTTTCGTTTTGGTGTTATTTTTTTTCATAGTATTGGGGTTCTTCTTTGTGTCTGCACTTCGACTCAAAAATCAAATCGAATGACCAATCCCTAGCCACAAATAGGTAGCACAATCAAATTGTAGGCCCAACGAGAAATTGGATGATAAGAGAGTAGTACACAAGGTCAAAATTAAAAGCATAAAGAAAAACAGGACCTTAGAAGAAATATCAGTACATAGACAAAAATGATAAAGAATCTAATTGAATATCCAACTTCTTAGCCACAAATAAGTAGTACAACAAAATTCAAAGCCATCCCCAAGAAATCGGATGAAACAACCAAATTCAACGAGACCAAGTCATTCCCAAAAGAAATCGGATGAAATATATTGATAGTGTAGGAGAATAGAAAAAAAAAAGATGAAAGTCGAAAGGAAAAAAATGATTCATTAGTAGTGAATTATTAGTAAATAGACAAGAAAATCTGATGAAATGCCAAGTTGATGGAGGGCAACTTGAATTAAGTGCAACTTTGACAGTTGAGATAATCCAAAAGTTCAGTAGAAATAAAACGTGATGTAATTTATAATCAAAACAATAACCACAGCGTGAAAGAGTCCTGCAATTGTAGAGCAAATAATTGTAAATTACAAATAACATAAGCAATTAACAAATAAAAGCATGTCATTGACGATAAACTATCGGTACATTGAAAAATCAAAACCTAATCGAATAAGTTAGAACAAACCCCTTAGCCACAAACAGGCAAATTCAACACCTAAACCAAGTTGTTTGTTTAGCAATATAGGGCAGAAGAAGATGAGGTTCCATATTGCAACCATAGGAGAGGGGAACAAAGGAAAAAAAGTGGAAGTTGTATTGTAGGTCTTTTGAAAGAAAACTTTAGAGTACACTGGAAACCTAAAACTCTAATCAACTACCAAATCCCATTAGCCACAAATAGGTAGAACAAGAAATATCAAAGGAAAACAAATCCGATGAACCCTATTGAGAGCATAGGAGAATGAAACTCATTTACTATTCACCGCCCCATTTGGACAATTTTGTCCCTGGCATTTTTTTCCAAAAAGTAAAAAAAAATAAAACAAAATAAAACTGTCCGGCCGGCGAAACCGGACGGCTTTTAGCCCGTCCGACCGCC